ATACGACGTAGGATATTATACATATTTACTAATATATATGTGTAATAATCCGTTGGGATATAATCCAAGGGAATCCTATTAATACAATATAAAATATTAAATATTAAAACTGATTCACATATAGAGCTCAATGTTTTTATTAAACAGAGCAAAATATTTTATACAATATAAATTAAGATTACATTAGGTGATGATCATTATCATCTTGTAAATAGAAATAAATTCACAAGGATTTTCAAGCCAGTCAATGGATGGTAAATTATTGAAAAAAAAAAAATTTCAATAATTATCATTCATTGACTGGTTTGAAGTACCCTTGTACATTTTATTTCAATTTACAAGGTGAAATTAATGTAATCTCAATTCCTGTTGTATATATATATATATATATATATATATATATATATATATATATATATATATATATATATATAAGAGAAAGGTAGGAAGACAGAGAGTGAAAGATGGAGATGGATAAAGAGAGAGAGAAGGACAATATGGAGAAAGAGAGACAGGGAAAGACAGGCAGATATAGCGGGAGAAAGGAGAGAAAGCGAGAGGGAGATGTAAGGAGAAAAAGAGAGAGATATAGAGAGAGATGTAAATCATTTTGCCCATTCTCCTGTAGTCCATGTTGCCTCTCGAAACAGTATTTTAATCTCATGCAACATTATACTTCTCCAGTAGCTTTTTGAAGTTTTCAACCGAACTGATACTATTTCGGTGTATGAATTCCATTATAAATGGAAAGCGAAATAATAATACTTAATAAATTCGAGGGATGTCTAAAAATTCCACAACAAATCTATATCAATTTTTACCTAATCGCCAAAGAAACAAGCAGTCTAGTGATATATTGTTTGATAATTAAACCTATTTATTCGGAATACATTTCTAAGGTTTTGATGCCAGTGGAAACCTGTAGTTAAAAAAAAGTCTTTTAACCGAAGATGCAAAGTAGGGCACCGAAATCCGAAGATGGATTGCAATAGGGAAAAATTCCTTCCAAAAGTATAAGGAATAAATAATTCTACAATCTACATTCAACATCATCACTTGATAAGACACCAGAGGTGTTGAAACAAAATGGCTATTTTTGTAGTGATTTTATAACATATTTATGTTTTAATTTTTAGCCAAAAAATTTAAATATATATATATATATATATATATATATATATATATGTGTGTGTGTGTGTGTGTGTGTGTGTGTGTGTGTGTGTGTGTGTGTGTAATCTAATAATGTAGCCATAACGTAATCTATTATTTATTCTGCAACTTATGTCCTAATAGTGGATATATTGGTGAGTCTGGAAATAATTTTACATTTCGTTTCAATAACCATAAACAAACAATACGTCAAAACAACCCTTATTCCCCCATAGCTAAACATTACAATCAATCAGGACACACATTAGAAAACTGCAAATGTTTATTGATAGATTCCGATTTTACTTCCACATTCACACGCAGAAAAAAAGAAACATATTGGATTTTAAAATTAAATACACATAAACTAGGGTTGAATATGGACTTAGGTGTTTTAAATCTTTATAAATATTTCAATAGTTAAGCAATTTTTTTTAGATATAGTAAAAAAATTTTTTTAAACAACATTTAAAATATTAATGACAGTTAGATTTAAGTTAGGAATATCCGAACAGTGACGTTCCATATCACGTGACGTCCGCGTCTCGCGAAGGACGCTACATGTTAACAAACAGTAATTTTAATTTATTTGTAACAAACAGTTATTTCTGATGAAAAATTGAGGACAATTTGAAATATCAAATATATATATAAATAAATAAATACTTTCATAAAATGAAACATTATTATTTTCTAATTTGAAACTTTATATATATATATATATATATATATATATATATATATATATATATATATATATATATATGTATGTATTTATGTATAATTGTAACTAAAATACCATTATACAAATGATCATTTTCACTTTGTAAAATTACATTTACAGTATTTTCAAACAGTCAATGTGTGATAAATTTTTGGAATAATAAATACCCAGATAAGGGAGAGGAAAGAAAGAGAGAAAAACAGGGGGGAAAAGATGATTAAGAATAGAAAGAAAGGTGGTAAAGGAATCAGGACGTGGTGTAAGTCTTGATATGAGTGGTAGTCAGAGGGGAAATAAGAGAAAAAAAGAAGGAAAGGAGAAAAAGATATTCACACACACACACACACACACACACACACACACATATATATATATATATATATATATATATATATATATATATATATATATATATATATATATATATATATCAAGTATAGGACTGGTGTATACGGAATAAATAATTCTACAATCTAAAGTGAAAGAGATAACCTGTACAATATAGAAATAAACAGTAGGTAGACTAAAGGAACCTTCAGAAATTAATGTAAAAACAAATATTATAAGAAATAATAAGAGATAAACACAAAAACTTGAAAGAGAGATTATTCAGGATTAAAGAATTTTAAATTAAGCAATATATCAGAAAAGAATATTAAAGGAAATATGAAAAAAAAACTCAATATAAAATAGGGGAATATAAATGCCTTAAGGTGAATACATCCAAATTAACATATAGCAAATTAAATTTGTATTAAGTAATACCCATCCATAAAATACTTGAAATTAATATATAAGAAAATATAAAAAAAAAAACAAAACATATTGTGTATATTTTTGCAGCATGTTTGTCGTAAGGCATGTATCATTGAATAATTTAGTCACATTTTATCTACTCGTTTTCGATAGGATCCTCTCATATTCACGGACAAGCCTTTTAGTATCCTTATTAAAGGAAGAGAGAGAAAATTACCACGTTGTTACATATTTATTTATTCCGAGTACTTTCGACATTAGCACGATATCATCATCAGGGTGTTTTTTTTTTGTTTTGTTTTTTTTTACTAAGACAAAATTGTTTTGTTCATCTGCAAGTTAAATGTTATTTTAACTGTGAAGTGAAAAACGCTAAGGTTATGTACAATGCGGTTTAAATTTCACTTTGCAAACGTCAGGAGAGGTAAAAAAACATATGGACATTTCAAACATAGTTACCAAGATCAATAATATTGCTGCTTCGTTTTTGGACTTTATCCAGGAGCTCTAGATAAAGAGCAGTGGCAACGGAATTGAACGGAATTGGAAGAAGCGAATCACTGGTTATATAAAGCCCTCCTCTCCTTACAAGGCGCTTAGCATGAAAAGGTTGTCGCCTCTGCATATTAACTTCAATGTCTACCTTTATATTTACATGCGCTCTATGTTTGATACTGAGCACCTTTATCCATAAATATACTATAATTTAATCCATGAATATAGCATAATTTAAAAATGTATTTTCATATATATATATATATATATATATATATATATATATATATATATATATATATATAATGCGGTGCAATTCAAATTATATTATAATAAATCAATCATAAAAAGTAGATTAGTAAAGTTAATGATATAAAATGGCGAAATTCTTTCGCAAACTAAATTTTAAAAAAAGTTCAACCTTAGCATTGCGACTGCACACTCCAAAAGTTTGTATCCGTTAACAATAACACATTAAAAAAAAAATCATATTTTGATTTGCATTTATTTTTTTCGTCTCGGATGCTACCTGGATTTTACTAAAAAAGAAAAAGATAATTTCCATGCCTGAAGATGACTGAATATCCAGCTGAAAGTAATTGCGTATGAAAAAAGACCTTATATAGCTTATAATTATTAAAAACAAGGATCATAACATTCATCGAGTGATTTGTAGGTTAATGCAACGTTAAAATTTAGTTTTGGAAAAAATTTCGCCATTTTTTATATATATATATATATATATATATATATATATATATATATATATAGTTAGTTAGTTAGTTTTGCCTTATAAAACTTTTAAATTTACACTACTTACAATTTTCAAATTGTTGCCTTTTATGTTGTAAAACTAAGTCTTATATGTTAACTTAAAAAAATATTCTATTCGCTACTTTTTTTGCGAGTTCCATTAACCGTTGGTCGTTTTCCATAAAAATCCCATTTTCTTGTTATTTTCAAATTCCTGGTGTTGCTTCCCCAGCAACTATTAATCTACACTCATTTCATTCTCTTTCTTTTACTTACGTTCCATTTTTCATTTGACGCCCCCTATTTCAGTCAAAGACTTCAAGCCTCCGAGAAAAGACAAAACAGAAAATATAGTTCATTATAACGTCTCTTTCTATATTTACTGCCTTATTGCTTTTTTTTTTAAGTAGCTGTTAAAGCCTAATTCACTTTTTGTTCTTTCGTTTTAGCTGTCTTCATTATTTTCTTGTCTTAATCTTTAGTTTTCCGATTTCGCGCATGCGCTGACGGTAATAAGGCATATTAGGACCTGTAATGTTCGACAAAAATATAGAATCACGTTGTATGGCACGGTAGTTAGTGTACTTTTCTTTCTTTATGACTTCGCTATTTTTTTTTTCCGTGGCTCGAGTCAATGAACCTCGTTTTCAAGACTTACCACGTTCGGTAAATATAATAAAAATCAAATTCATGCCATGCTGATGGCGAAAGTTCTAAGTTAGAAATCTTTGTTTTATTATTTTCGTTCGTTTTTTATTATTATTATTATTATTATTATTATTATTATTATTACCTTTTTTTAAAAAATTTTTGAGTCTTTTGATAATGTACACTTTTTTTTTTACTTGTTTTGCATATTTATATTTATACAAAAGTGAATATATCCCAAATAAATACAGGAAAAATAGATAGAAAGAAAAAGAAAGAAAGAGCGAATAAATCTAACGGTGAAAATGAAACTGATAAAGAAAAACTGTGGCAGGAATATAAGCGAAAAAATTTTCAAAGAAAGAAAATGAAAGTTTGTCACAACGTTTGTTGTTATCATGGAATAAAAAAGACTTTGAAAAGAAAATGTCTGATGGGGGAAAAGACAAAAGTGGAAGCAGCGAGATTTTAAAGACTAATAAAGCAAAGTAATAAAGAACTGAAGAATAAAAATGTGAAAACAATGGTAAGTTATGGAATGAGGAAAGAGAGAATGAAATGCAATAGAATGAAACGGTTTTGAAGAAGAGGAGGAGGATGTAAAAGAAGAGGAGAAAGAAAATAAAGAGCGGAAAAGAGAAGAAGAAGAAGAAAAAGTTCTAGAGGAGGAAAAAGAAATAGAAGAGGATAAGGCGGTGGAGTTGTAAGATGTAGAAGAAGAAGGGGCGAGGTAAACGAGGAGGAAGATGTAGAAGAACTTGAAGACAGATAGATGGAGAGAAATAAGAGGAGGTGAATAAGGAGTAAGGCGTAGAAGAGTAGAAGGGAGAAAAATAAGAAGAGGGCGATGAAAAAGAAGAGGAGGAAAAAAAGGAGGGTAAAAAAAAGAAGGAACAGAAAGAGGAAGAAGAAGAAGAAGAGGAAAAAGTGGAACCTGGAGAAGAAAGTCTACTTTGTATAAAATGCATAGTAGAAGTTGAAGAAAGAAAAGAAAATGAATTGGCGAAGAAGAAAAGAGAAGGAAAACGGATGAGATATGAAGAACGGAAGCTGTAAATGACAAAGAACATGAATAATTAATTAACAATAATGAAGGAGGAAAAGAATGAAATCTAAGAAGATTAACAAAATTTAGAATGAAAAATTGAATAAAGGTTAAATAAAAGATGATGTGCTGAAGTGAATAAAGATTTATTTTTTACGACTTATCAAGCCTTTGTTGGTTAATTAAAGCCGAAACCTATTTCACAGTATAGTAGGTTGCTTATATTATACGATGTTCTCAAATAATGCCTCATCTAAATATTGACCGGGTTCGACGGTCATTAACGTCGGTAACTTGACCAAAGGCAAGTTAAGAAGAGGACAAAATTAAAAAAAAAATAAAGATGTCAAGTTATAGAATGAGGGATAAATGAAGAAGAATAAAAAAAGGAAAAACAAGTAGAGCTATAGCAACAAGTAAATAAGGCAATCCACAACTGCAGGGAAGCCATTGAAGTTCTAATTCGCTACACTTGTCAGCAAAATTACCCTCTCACCAAACCGAAGATGAACGAGAACGAAACTAAAGAGAAATAAGTGAAAAATAATATACGTGCAAACACATCATTGATTAAATAGAATAAACAAAGTAATCAGAATGAAAATGATGTAAAAAAACAAAAAACAAAACGATATTATTTACATTATTCGGACTATTGTCCTCATCTTTGTCGCCATATTTATTACAACGTTTCGGCCGTTGTACGCTCCGGCCTTCTTCAGGTGGTCGTAAACTTAAGGAACCAGCACATATGCTGGGCTACAAAAATTTCCTGAGCCGACTAAGCATAGAAATGAATACAATATAGGAACCACTAATAAGGAATGCTAGAGAAAAGCGATAACAACAACAAAAATTGCAATATCAGCTCTGGTAAAAACATGTAATGATAACAGCAAAAAAATTGCAATATGAGCACTGGTAAAAGATAGTTGCTGAGACATTAGGTTTATAATACCCAGAAATTCATAGACAGATGTCCCCAAGGACACATGGCAAAGTGGATAAAGGCGTTGGTTAGATCCAGTGACAGGGCCCGGTTAAGGCAATGGAGAACAGCCGAAGAAGAAGAGAGGGCAATTAACAGGAAATAACTGATAACTGACAATGGATTAAACATGGCACTTTGTACTAGAACAGTCTACCCCAGTTCGACATTACAACCACCTGAAGAAGGCCGGAGCGAACAACAGTCGAAACGTTGTAACAAATATGGCGAATAATGTAAATATGACACATAATACCTCATCTCAGAAATATAGACAGATACTGAAAACAAAATATAATTATCATAGAGAAATGGTAATAATAAAAAGTTTTTTAAAAAGTTCGTAGGAGTTCCTTCAGAATCATTTGAAATAGGGCTAGGAACGAAAAAAAAGAAGATGGCGAATTATTCTAAAATGGAAAAGAATATTGATAAACTCCAGTCATAAGAAGCGAAAATCATGGACATTTCCAAGCAATTAGAAACAAGAGAATGCAGTCTGTGTTTTGACCTGATAGCGACAACGCAATGTCCATAATGAAAGCATGATTTGTCGACATATGCACTGGAAAAATAAGAGCAATCGTAACGTACGAAAAAGAAAGAAAGCTTACAGCCGATAAACAAAGAATCATAAAGAAAGAAAATAAGAGGAAAGAACAGAAAAAAAGAAAGAAAAAAGAATGTAAAGAAAGAAAGAGAAAGGAATGAAAAGATAAAAATAATGAAAGACAAAGAAAGAAATATCAAGGAAAGAAGGAAAACACAAAAAAAGAAAACGAAAAATGAAAAAAAAAACAAAGAAAAAAGGAAAGGACAAAGAAAGAAAGAAAAACGATACAAAGAAAGGTAAAAGAAGAATGAAAATATAATGAAATCAAAAAGAAAAAATGTATGAAAAGAAAAGAAAGAAAATGAGTGAAAAGACAAAGAATAAAGAACTAAAAGATAAAGATAAAATGAAAATACAATTAAAGAAAGAAAGAAAATGAAAAAAATGCATGTAAAGAAAAGAAAGTTTCAAAGATAAAAAAAGAATGAAAAGAAAGAAAGAAAGAAAGACACAGGATAAAATGAAGAAGAAAGTAATGATGAAAGAAAAAGAATGAAAAGAATCAGAAAAATAAAAAGGATGAAAAGAAAAAAGAAAGAAAAAAAGAGGACGAGAAAAAGAAGGCAAGAAAAATAATGAAAAAGAAGCACACAAAGAAAAAGAAGGATAAGAAGCAGAAAGACATAAATGAAGAGGATGAAAAGAAGAAAGAAATAAAGAGAGCAAAAGAATGAACAGAATAAGAAAGAAATAAAAAGGGTGAAAAGAAAAAAAGAAAGAAAAACGATGAAGAGAAAGAGAAAGAGAGAAAAATAATGCTAAAGAAAGAAAAAGAAAAAGAAAGAAATGAAAAAATGAAAGTAAAAGGAAAGAAAATAATGAACTTGAAAAGAAAGAAAAAGAAAAGAATAAACATGATGAAAAGAACGAAAGAAAGAAAAAGAATGAAAGACAAGGTAAGAAAGACAGAAAGAAAGAAAAGGGAAGAAAATAAAAAGAAAGAAAGGAAAACTGAAAAGAAAGAAAGAAAGAAAGAAAGAAAGACAGAAAAAAGAATGAAAAGAAAAATGAAGAAAAAAGGGATGAATAAATGAATTACAGAAAACACAAATCGAATTTCTTTGATTTCAAACTATAGATTCTTTTTTGGTCACGCATAATCTTAAAAGTATGTGGAAGATACGCCATTTTTCTGTTCGTTGTTGCCATTTCTATTTACCATTTCATTTTCTCATCAGAATCACGAACTTCGATCATCATCTGCATATATATGTCCTCGATTATCTAACGGCCATGTTCTTTCGCAATGCACCAGAGAATGCGCGTGTGCGTGTGTGTGTGCGCACACGTTAATGAGACGCCATCTGCTTAGCATCGTTTAAACGGACAGCCATCATCAATAAAATAAACACTGAATTTTAGCGGAGACTGCATTCGCGTAGAGAAAGCGAAAGCATTATAGGTTTCTAATTCTATTTTGCTGTGTAAGTAAGCACGTTAAAAGAGGCACGAAATTAAATAGTTACACTTGTCAGTTGCCATATAAATCAATTCGAAAGTGTTATTTTAACGTTTATTCTTTATCGAAATGCTTTTTATTCGTTTTATTACCATAAACAAACTGGTTTAATGTCCGTTTCTTTATGTATATATCTGAAAAGAAATCTCAATTTAATTCTTGTTTCTTTTTATTTTCTCGTGCTATCAATAACTAGCGAAAACAGACATAAGTGAACATTACATCATATAGGCATTTAATTATAGTCGTTTAACCTCTCTTAGATAGTGACGTAACTTGGCATGATATGATAGGCTAATCAATGTTATCTACGGAAGATAGTCAGAAGAAATGAGATGCTAAATCTGCCAGTAGGCTCTCCAAAATCTAATACAAATACCTTGCCTTTTCCTTTCTGTCTTTAAGATTACTGCTGAAACATCTGATCCCTTGGATTATCGTCCAATAATTTAATCTATTTTTGGCAATAATTAGTGAGTGTGTAACCTCATGTGGCCTGCTTTAAAATAAACAATATAATATATAAATAATATGCCTTTTGCTTCAAAAAGTCAAACCCCGATGTGTTAAAAACTATTAATTTGTCTATGTAGCTTTACATAATAATGGCGAGTCTCGAGCCGTGGCATTAGAGATCTCGAAACCGTTTGACAAGGTAAGATGTACTGGCTTTCTTCATAAGCTCATGGCTGAATTTTTGACAATACAAGCGTTCTTAACAATGAAAGTTGTATTGAAAGTCAACACATTGAGATTCCTTTACATGACGCTATACTTGGGCATACGTTGATTTGTTTCTTCATCACAGACCCTCCCGATGTCATCAGTTCCACAGAGACTTCTTTCTTCTTTTTTTTGCTGTTTACTCGAGTCTTAATAGTAAGCCCGATCGGTCTGACAAAATATAGTTCTGGGTATGATGATATACTACATCCGGCAGCAAGATCTCTGATCCGAAAGACTGAAGGTTTTGAAGAGGGTACAACCGCCTCTTAATTGCTGTTGTTCCCAGATCCACCCTGACTCGAGGGTGGTAGCACCTATTAGGGACCCAGCTATGAGAAAATAGTGACCCCTACCAACAAAAACAAAACACTATCTTCGTATAAAAATGCATTTTTATAATAAAATTAGCAGCAATACATTTTATAAAATTTTTTTCGAGCAATGTGCACATACTAACAAACTGCTGCGACTTCAGCCAATTCTACAAAACAACCAATGTGAAAGAACTTTCATGACATTAATCAATATAATATCCGACATTTTTCAAATCAACGGTATTCCAAAATATAACTTCAACAAAATCATAGCATAAAACAAACATATCATCGACCCTAGTCATTATGTCCACACAAAAATTTATATGCACAAAAGCTGAGTATCTTCTACCATGTATTCAACTGTGAAAGCAGAATAACATATATTACATTTTTATTGCTTCCAAGCTCCCACGAAAATTAATTTTCAGCATTAAATGACCCATAAGTTGTTGATACGCCGTTAAACAAACTAATAAATCCGACAAAGTAAAACTGGCTGATGCTTTCAAAAATGACCCCCAATCACTATTTACATTAGTCGGACTATTGGCCTAATCTTTGATGCCATATTTATTACAGCGTTTCAGCTGTTGTTCGTTCTGACTTTCTTCAGGTGGTTGGAATGTCGAACTGAACCCTTTATTTCACTCGCTGAGGTAGACTGTTCTAGTTCCATGTGCCATGTCTAATGGATGTCAGTTATCAGTTATTTCATCTCTCCAAGTTCTCCACTGCCTTAACCAGGTATTGAACTCACAACTCTTTGGGTCTTGTCACTGGATCTAACCATCACCTTTTTCCACTTTCACATGTGTCATTAAGGACATCTGTGAATGAATTTCTGGGACGTATAAACTTAAAATCTTCAGCAGCCATTTTTGCCAGTACTCCTATCGCACTTTTTGCTGCTATCATTGCATTTTTTTTAAGCCGGAGCGTACAACGGCTGAAATGTTGTGATAAATATCGCATCAAAGATGAGGATGATAGTCCGAATAATGTAAATAGTATATATAATACCTCATCTCAGAAATATAGACAGACCGCCAATCAGTTTTTAACTGAATCAAGAGATGATTTGTTAATTTTAACTACTCCAAAGCAGCTACCTTTTTATCTGTCTTTCATTAGCAGGAGAACATCACACGTTTCCCATTGATATGAAGTGGGGCGATTATATTAAATCAATTGCTAGGTCTGCTGGTAAGGAAGTCGGATCATACTAACGTGACAGACAATTTTCTCGCCAGAATTCATCTTGCACATGTATATATATACAGTTACTCCGTACATTTAATACTACTGTCATATTTTGTCTGGTGTTCCTGCTATATATCTCGGGATTCGTGTCCAAATCCAAAGTCAGCTTTGTAATGATATCTATTAATGCCATCTCGATTTTAGCCACTTTTCCACTTCCGAGACATGGCTTCACTCTGTCTTTTCTCATTGGGATTTGATGACGTTGCCACGTCTACATATGCGCACGAAACGAGAGACACAGGTAGTTTCATAATCTTTTGAATGTATAATTTTTTTGAAAGTTTTTATCTTAATTTTTTCTTTTTTTTATCTCTCTACCGGAGAAAGAAAATGAAAAAAAAAATACAGATGATTTCGACTAGATTGAAGAAAAAAATTCTTTCAAAAAATATTCTTTCAAAAGATTTTGAAACTACCTGTCTCTCGTTTCGTGCGCATGCGTAGACGTGGCAAAGTTATCAAAGCCCAGTCCAATGAAATCCTAACGGATGAAACGCGTCACAAAAAGAAACACTTTCCAGTTTGTCATATTTTCTAAGTACGATGTCTTTTCTGCAAATATCTTCGTGACGATTGTTCTAATGAGCTGTCCTTATTTGTATCCTGAATGCATGAATTTAATCGTACATTTCATAGGCAAGTAGGTCTCATCGTTTTATTCTTGAAATAGCTAGATATAATTCTATTATAATAGTTTCCTTTCTCTCACTTCTTGAGTGTGGAATCTTTTGATTGATTGCTTCCCTGCAGCATACGATCTTCAGAAAGCTGAATGCAACGTTATAAGCCGCTGTGCATCCTCCTGAAATATATTATTTTAGTGACCTGTTTCCTCATTAATGTATTCTAATTCACTTTCACTCTCAGCAACCCCTGTTATCTTAATAGCTATATCGCCTTGCCTGAGGTGAAATGATAAACAGGCATATATATATATATATATATATATATATATATATATATGAAAATTTCTCAGAGTTAACCTGTAGAAAAGAAAATATTTATAAACATAAATGACAATAGGAAAACTGTAGATATTGCTGACGCGTTTCGTCCAATGTGGACTTTCTCAAAGCAAAAAACGAAATGAATTTAATTAAACAAATAACTAACAATAACAAAAAACAGAATGTTTTTAGCAACTGGAAGAATGTAGAGAACGCTATTTTCATATTGTTAACTGAAAATAACGTCAGTTACTGTCTCGTGAGGAGAATATTGTCATTATAGCTGTGTTGACAGATTCAACAATTTTCTTTTGATTTTACGATATTGTTGTGTACGTTTCTTTGGGAGAGCAGTAATTTTGTTAAGAAAGGTGAAATAGGGAAAAAGCCTGGGCGTATTTGGGTAATATTCTATGGCGGCACTCTCTAGAATTTTACTTTGTTTTATTAAATTCATTTCTTTCTTTTTTTTTTGCTTTGAGACAGTTCATATTGGACGAAAGGCGTCAGCAACTACTACAGTTTTCCTATTGTCATTTATATTTATAAATATTTTCTTTTCTACATATTTGTTAACTCTGATCAATTTTCATATATATATATATTGATGTGGGGCCAAAGTTGGGACCACAGAAGGAAAACACGGAACACGGATTAGATGTAAGAAAGATATATTAACAACAGGTTACAGAGATAGTGTAAGCGGAGCTTACTATATGTTAGTGTCCAACACTGGTAGTCGTACTAGACTCTCACTGTCTCTCTGTGTCACTCTCTGTCACTCACTAGAGTGCTATGTCGCCTACTTAATATAAGCCTGGAAGAGTCTATTGTGTAGGTAGTTTCCGGTCTCACAATATATATATATATATATATATATATATATATATATATATATATATATATATATATATATAAATTTAATTAGAAAACAGACAACCTTATGGGTGATCTGAGGAACCAGAAAAAAAAACACATTCCTGGGGAAATAAAATATAATCAACGGACCTTTAATCTTGTCTGTTTTCTAATTAAATTGTTTGCTCTGGTTTGACATTGAGTTGTCTGCATTACAAACTATTCGGGATTATCCATAATGATTAACAAAATTTTAATTCCCTAACTATGTGTATGTGTGTGTGTGTCTGTGTGTGTGAAGGGATAAATATTTAAATAGATATATATAGGCAGGATAAAAAGATAGGTATCAACTGTCACTTGGCGCATCTTAATGCGATACTGAGCTTCTCCTACTGTGATCCTATTTGTCGTTGCTGCGGTAAAACGGAAGAAAGCTTTGTTAAAAAGTAAGAAAGTGTTATGTACTGAGAAACAGTGAAATAAGAAGGGTTAATACCTAAAAGCCGGGAGAAGAATTGAGGATTT